ACCTGAGCTATCCAATCTCCTATAGAATAGACAACTCCACTTATGACCATTTTCGCTAGAACCGGGTTTCGCTTCAACGCTTCTTCGTAAGCAATCCAGCTATGTTGAGGAGCATATCTTAGTATTTCAAACAATGTCCAACCCTGAGATTACAAAGCTTAAACATCTGAATTCAAACATTCAAGAAAACTCCAATAGAATCAATCAGTCACATCCCCAAAACTCTGAATTACAAAGACTAATCACATAAACAACATCAATTCCATTCTCAATCGTACAAATTCGACTAAAGCAACATCGAATCCAAGCTCAATCGTACAAATTCGACTAAAAGCAACAAATCTTATAAATTCGACTATAACAGCATCAAATTCAAGCTCAGATCATTCAAATTCGACTAAAAGCAACATCAAATCCAAGCTCAATCTTATACGGATTGAGAGATACTTACATGCCAATAATCATGATCAATGGTGAGCAATTTGGAAATGGCGTAAGTACCAGCAGCTAAAACGATCGTTGCGTTAATACTCCGATCGATCATCTTCTCCATTTCTTCGTTTTCTCTACTTCTCTCATCTCCCAAATCAGCTGCTGAAGAAGAAAAACCTTCTAACGACAATCGACCTTCGCTCGTCGCAGCACCGAATCCAACAACCACCGATTCGTTCACATCTCTCTCCGTCTCGATGGCTAACACCACCGCACCTTCCTGTTGATCGGTTCGATCTCGGCTCTGAACCGGAATCACATCGATTTCGTCGTAAATCGACGCACACGAAACGCAGCTTCTCTGTTTGTTGTTTCTGAGGAAGATCTGGGATCGGTGAGGTCTCAGAGACGGTTTAGAGTGAGAGATGAAGCTACGAGGAGAGATTGATGTGTGGAGTGAAGAAGCAGTAGCCATTGGCGGAGAAGAAGAAAACGAGTTGACTCGGTGATAAACTCAGATGAGTCAGGACTCGTTTTGGTTTTCTCTCCGAGTTGTGAAAATTTTTGAAACGGAAGGTTTTATCCTTTGTTATGGAGCTATGTTCCGCTACGATTATGTATAAGATCTAACGGTTGTGATTTAGGTGTTGACTATTTGACTTGAAACGAACGGTTGTGATTAGAAATTCTGGAAAGTTTTGGTATTAGTGAGAAGTTCTGGATTTTTTACGAATAGAAGATTCTTTTGGATGATGAAAAGAGTACTGTCCACAAGTACAAATATAAGATTCTTCACAGAAATAAATGTATATTTAATTTTTTTTTTTTGTGAAATATCATAATGAAAATATTTATAACCATTTAAAATATTAAATAATTAAATATTCTTGCAAAAATATATGTGTTACATAAAATTGAAAGATGGTCCAACTTATACCTTACATAATTTTAGGATTTAATACTAGCCAAGTATTTTGATTATTTGCCAAAGAAAGAAAAAATACAAAAAAATAATAGAAAGATTCACACTGGTCTTCTTGTTATTATTTTATTGAGTTTTGTAGATGCAATGTAAATCAAAGAACCTATCTCATAACTTCAATTCAAGAAATAGAGGCAAATTATTACTTTAGAAATTATATTTAAATATAAATATATAAGGATGGTATGATAATTCAACACCCGACCTTAGCTCAGTTGGTAGAGCGGAAGACTGTAGTCTGTGACAGCAAATCTTTAGGTCGCTGGTTCGATTCCGGCAGGTCGGAATTATCCTTTTTACAATTTATTACACTCTGGGTTTAGAAACGGCGTGGTGTTCTCTTCTTTAAATCACAGACGGCGTGATGAGTTACTTGACCTTATGAAAAAAACGAACTCCTCTACGTTCTAAACATTTGCTTTCGCACGCTTTGCCGTCTGTCTTGGGCTTCGGATACTATTAATATATAAATCCTCGCTTGGCCCAATGAGGCCCAAACCATCGCATTAGTTGATAATCGATCAATCAACTCTAATCCCGTGAGTTGATAATGAATGCACAAAGAAATTATAAAAAAAAATTACTGATCAAGTATCAATGCTCATTTCAAAAATGATCTTCGAAGATTAATTAGTTCTAATTTTGTAAGATTCACGCATTTTAATCGAAATTTTGTTTTCCTTCTTTATTTTGATTTTAAAATGGATACATTTGGGTCATAGGTCTAAAATCGCCAAATCATTTTCAATTTTATTTTTGACTTATGTGCCAATTGTATTCACATAGATTTAGTTGACTATTTAATGAACTAACAAAAGGTTATATATGATTGATTGGAGTGTGGAATTATCAATCATGTAATATTAGTGTGGAATTATCAATGGACATGTAAATTCAAGTGGTTGCAATAAATATAGCCATCGCTATCAATGATGTAATATTCGACTATTTATATTTGGCTATGATTTTTCTTTAAAAGCAACCATATTTATGTCCCTAATATCGTCGTAAACAATCTATGGTCTTTTCTTGTTCCCTTCTTTGGCTTGCATATGATAAAGAAATGAAGGAGAATTAAGGGATGGCCGAAGTTTATTATTATTTTTTTTTTTTATCAGAGAGTTTTTTTTCTATATTAAATATTACAAAATTTATCCCTAAATAATGAATGATAAATAGTTCTCAACTACGTATCGATTTGTTTCCTCGGCACTGGTTGCAGAAGGACTAGCTATAAAAGCTGCCATATATGCAGCTTCAAACTCGGAGATGAGAGACTTCAATTTGCTCTCTGATTCTCTAACTCTTGTCACTCTTCTTAATAATGGAGGTGTGATCAACGAGCTGAAAAGCGTTCTATTCGACATTCGATGTTTGATGCGATCCTTTTTTTTCTATCAAGTTTACTCATGTATCTCGCAAAACGAACTTTAGCTAAAGAGACTTTGAAACTCTTTAGACTATCCTATGTACCAGAACTTTAAGCGTATTAATATATATGGTTTGAACAAAAAAAAATAGTTCTCAATTGTAAGAAATTAAGTATTCAACCTCAATCTTATGATTCTTATCCCCGCATAATTAATACTTAAAACACATTAGATTAGAGAGATACAACTTAAAATTTTTAGAGAAATATGTTTCGTATTTCAAAGTTTTTTTCCATTAACAAATACTTAGTTAGGATTGAATCCAAATGATAACATAATGACATCATTAACACCACCAATCACTAAGTTACATGTTTAATTTTTTTTTTTTTTTAAGAATTTGGACTCTTAATTCAGATTTAAACAATTAGCACATGAATCCCTAAGAAAAAAAGTGTCCTACCAATATAAACATCTACATTAAATGATTTTATACGATTCAACAATTTAAAGTGTGCCATACCTGCCGTTTTATCACGGAACTTTTGTATAATATATAAACTAATAAATGCAAATATTGTTGGTAAATGAGAAAACATAGTTCACAAATAAATAAAATAAAAAGCAGAAAGAGTTGGAGAAATTTCCTCATGACAATGACAAACTCAACTTCTAACTGTTTTATCCACGTGTCAGCTACTCACACATTCCTCATGACACAAATCCTTTGCTACTAAGTAAAATCATAATGACATTAATATGAATGATGTAGAGACTTTGTACTTACGTACCATTTCTTTTTCTAATTTATAGTCAATTGTTTTCATTACTAAATTTACAAACTTGTCAAATTTAGAAGAAAATATATTTTTATGCTAAATGTTAGGTACAATAGCTGTATATTATGCTACAATGTTGATTTATTTTCAAAAATTGAACATAATTGCCGAATAAATAATTTATCGAACTTTGTAATGGATATAAAATGTAATATTATTTTAGCTTATC